AGGCCAGCAGTCAAAGTGAGACCGAGCAGCCGCAGAGAGGTGATCTCGAGAAGTTCAGTGTCAGCCATTCTAATGGAGGGCAGGAAAGGATCTCTGTGGTGATTAATAGAGAGCAGTTTTGTTTTTGAGGCATTAAAGTTGACCAGCCAATTCCTGTCCCAGTTCACAACCGATTGGAGGTCCTTTTCGAGATGTACGGCCAGGTTAGTTTTGTCAGTGACACTAGATTTGTTTTTGAGGCAGGAATAAATTGTGGTGTCATCCGCGGAGATGCCTACTTGGGAATTTATGGCGTCAGGAAGGTCATTTATGTAGATAAGGAATAGAGTGGGGCCTAGGATGGAGCCTTGAGGAACACCTGCGTTCGTGGGATAGGAACTGGAGGAGAATCCGTTGAGAACGACCTTCGATTCACGGTTTGACAGGAATGATTGTATTAGGTCAAACAATCGACCCGTAATGCCATAACCCTGGAGCTTGCGAAGAAGGCCGGCATGCCAAACCCTATCAAACGTCTAGGGCCACGGCACGAGCTTCCCCGTTATTTTGAAGAGCTCGGTAGACAGTTTCAGTGATGGCCGTAAGCACATCAGCTGTAGATCAGGAAAAGCGGAAGCCATATTGCTTGTCTGAGAGAAGATCATGGGATGTGAGGTGGTTAACCACCTCGGTATTGATTAGGGCTTCGAAGACTTTGACGAAGAGGGGTAGGAGACAAATAGGACGGTAGTTAGAAGGGTCAGAGGGGTCGCCAGAGTTCTTTAAGACAGGAACAATCGAAGAAGACTTCCAGCAGTCAGGAAAACAAGATTCCTTGAGGCAGTAATTGTATAGTTTAGAAAGGGCGGGCGCCAGTTCAGGCGCGCATTTCTTCAGGACAGTGGCTGGTATCCCATCTCCACCACTAGCCTTGTTGGGGTCTAAATAGGAAATAACGCCCAATACCAAAGACGGGTTATTATATATATATATATATATATATATATATATATATCTCAATGCATGTTTCATTAAATAATATAGACAAGTTTTGTCTATTTTAAGTAAGTTCCTTTCATATTGTCTGATAAGCTTAATAACATTATCATTGAAAGACGATAACAGAAGCCATTGGTTTATAGAAACGGCTTCCTATACTTAATACTTTTCGTTTTCACTCTCGCGTGGTCATGTGTGACGTCATGAGCTGCGACACGATTTTCGCTTCCGCGTCTCGTATACACGAGTGAGTCGTTGCTTTGAAATTTTTCATGCAACGAAAACAGACTATCATTATTGTTTCGTCCGTGTATTGTTTGATATATTGAAATGTAATTATCATCTTTGAGAATGGCTAATGTAAGCCGAAAGCTTAGATTGGATTTAAACATTTATCAATATGGTGATTTCCTTTCGAAATTGTCTTGCACGACACAGTGAACTGACTTTCTTAGCAGCTGACCTGGAAATGGATTCAATATAGTCTTTCCATTTCATGTTAGCTGAGAATGTTAGCCTGAGAAGGTGCAATGAGTCACTTTCCTAGAGGTTAGCATCAGCCATGCTGATGGAAGGCAGAGAGGGGTCTCTCAGATGATTAACAGAGAGAAGTTTAGTTTTGGAGGTGTTAAAATTGACAAGCTATCTTTTGCAAAAATAGTTAAATAAGAATTTATTTATGAGGTATTGTTTTTCTTTGGCCTTTATTTTTTGGATTTAATGAAAAAAACAAAACAATTGTAGATTTTACTTTGTTTCCATAATAAAAACCTGACAGCCCCAAGACAAGTAATTATCAATATAAAGAAGATTGTAGGAGTTGGAATTCATATATATATATATATATATATATTCCTCCCAAAATCAGTGACACCCCAAGCAAGGCAGTACAGCGACTAACATGCAAGGAGTTACAGGATGTGGAGGAATTAGGAACAGAAACATTAGTAATGAGCAGAAAAAGAAAAGAGTAATCAGGAGGACAGTAGATAATGTTTGACACTGCATTTCAATTTTTGCAGATTAAAGTTGATAGGAAAACAGAGTTAGAGAGTTCAACAAGTGAGAAGTGTGAGAAAAGAAACTGCTAGCATCTAGCTCACTCAACTGTAAATTGATGTGATCTTACCGCCAGTCTAATATTGTGCTTAAATTCATGCGATCTATGTTCCATAGTAAAGAGCTCATAGAACCAATTACCATGAAAGTATTTATAAAAAAGGCACAGAGAAGCAAAAGTGACTGGAGCCGAGCTGCCAGATCATGACCAATGATATTGCTAATTCTTCTTTGGATCTTATCAAGGATCTCTAGGTAAATATCAGGAGCAGTGGACCATATATGGCAACAATATTCTAAGCATGTATGAATAGTAGACTTATAGATATGCAAGATAGATTCAGGAGAGAAGAATTATCTTGTATGACATGGTGAACCGATTTTCTTAGCAGCTGACCTAGCAATGGATTTAATGTAGTCTTTCCATTTCATGTCAGCTGAGAACGTTAACCCGAGAAGGTACAACGAGACACATTTTGGTATCTCCAATTTGCAATTTGTTAAAGATAAATACAACTAAACTATTATTTGTTTTAGTCATTGTGTACTTATGAGCGCGTAAAGTTCAAATCCCGGCCCCATCTACACTTTCGCGCAAATGAACTTGAGAAAGGCATGAAAAGCTACCCCTGCCACCTATGTGTCGTGTAGACCGTGCTATCTAGTACAAGCGAATTAAAAATCTGAATTTCAAAAGCAACTGGAAGCCATTCCATTTGGAAAGTCATGACAATTCACGGACCAGAAAGAAATAGAACATTTGGAAATCCATGATCGCCTACATCCTGAAGGGACATATTATTTAAGAATGGGTTGACAGTGCTCTCTAGCCTTGGGTGGCATCCAGTCTAGGCGAAAACCAACTGCGAATGTAAAACCGTAGAAAAAGCAACGGGAAACTACTTCGTTTTCTTTGAAAAGAAAACATGGCAATTCACAGATAATAAAGAAATTCAAAACTCAACTGGGGTTGGAGACACAAGGAGAAGACATTTCATTCTTTTTTTCTCAAGATGTCATGGCAGTTCACAGATAATGAAGAAATAAAATTTGTCTAGTTCCATGACGCCCTCCATCATGAAAAGACATGACATTAAAAACATATTGTTCTGAGTTTCATCCCCACTGTGTGCTTAGGAAAGTTGGCTCTCTGTGCCGCGCCAGGAAATTTTTCTCCCCGGTATCGATACTTCAAATATACAAATCAAC